ATATCAGAGAAGCTAAACAAATTCTTTGCATTAGTGTTTTCCACAGAAGATAGTAAGGAAATTCCTATGCCAGATCATTCTTTTTAGTAGATGGGTCTAAAGAGTTAGACTACATTGAAGGGACAACAGAGGAAGTTTTAGAATAAATTGATAAGTTAAATACTAAGTCACTAGGACCATAAGGGAAGAACAAGAGGAGGACCAGGGAAGTGTGGGTCCCTTACTGAATGGGGGAGGCAACCTAGTGACAGAAGATACAGAAAAGGCTGAAGTACTCAGTGCCTTTTTCACCTCAGTCTTCACAGGCAAACTTAGCTCCCAGGCTACTGCACATAGAAGCGCAGTTTGGGGAAGAGGTGAACAGCCAGCAGTGGCAAAGAAAAACAGGTTAGGGACTATTTAGAAAAACTGGACATATACAATCCATGGGGCCAGACAGGATGCATCCAAGGGTGCTGAAGGAGTTGGCTAATATGACCGCAGAGCCGCTGACCATCATCTTTGAAAACTCATAGCGATCAGGAAAGGTCCTAGATGATTAGAAAAAGGGAAACATAGTGCCCATATTTAAGAAAGGGAAAAAGGAAGATCCAGGGAACTACAGAACAGTCAGCCTCACTTCAGTCCCTGGAAACATCATGGAGCAAATCCTCAGAGAATACATAAGCATTTGGAGGAGAAGAAGGTGATTAGGAACAGTCAGCATGGATTCACCAAGAGCAAGTCATGCCTGACCAACTTGATTGCTTTCTATGATGAGATGACTGGCTCTGTGGATGCAGGGAGCCCAGTGGATATGGTATACCTTGATTTTTGCAAGCCTGTTGATGTGGTTTCCCACAACATTCTCACAGGCAAGCTAAGAAAGTATGGGCTGGATGAATAGACTGTCAGGTAAATAGAAAAGTGGCTGGAGCATCAGACTCAGAGGGTAGTAATCAATGGCTTGATGTTTGGCTAGCAGCTGGTATTAAGTGGAGTGCCCTAGGGGTTGGTCCTGGGGGCTGTTTCATAGATTCATAGATGTTAGGGTCAGAAGGGACCTCAATAGATCATCGAGTCCAACCCCCTGCATAGGCAGGAAAGAGGGC